CGGCAAGTACAATGATCTCGGCTAGGAAGGACAACACGTGGCTTAGCTATGCCACACCTCGGCTTAGATGTGCCACACCTCAATCTAGGTCGCACCAATCCAGGAACAAGATCACTAGGTGCAGGGATAACATTTCGGCCTAGATAATGACATCTCGACCAATATGCCAGGGTGAAGGTGAAGGTCAGTCAAGGTGATCCCAAGATGGTCCTAGGCATAAGAGGCTCAAAGGTGACCTAGGCTTAGGATGACCTCGGCTACACACACCAAGCAACAAACAAAGCAAAGCAAACAACACTTAAGCAAAACAAGACAAGATCCGTAATGTAAGCTTAACAAGGCAAAATCGTATAAATGCATGAGAGCATGACCAAGATGGAGTGAGGGTTGTTACATAGATACATATCACAATGCATTCTAAAACGTCTCCGAAATATTGAAGATGAATAAACTAGATTTACAGCAAAATAATCCGCAAACAATCGATCATGACCCTTTCTTCTTTCGCAACATATGTATTTATGTCCTACAACAGAGCCGGCTTTTTTCTTTAGTTGATCACTTGCTATCAGAATCTGTATCATACTAGCATTATTTATCTCGTAAAGACCCACAAGTGCAACAATTTTTTTATCATCACTTTCATTATTAGAGGATGAGGAAAAAGAGAATGATGAAAAATCAATAAACAAATAAGAAGTTAAAGAAGTCATTATGCTCTGGTTTTCAGTTTTGGGTTGGTTCTAGATACAATGTTGTTTACTGGGTTTATTTACATGGTTTAATTTGTTTACATATATATATATATATATATCTTTTTTAGGGAAATAACTAATGGAGGCAAAAAGAAATGAAAAATAATTAATGGAGGGAAAAACAAGTGGCAAAGGAATTGAGGAAACATAAATTGAGGAAAAAAGAATTTTCAGAATTGATTGATTACACTGGTTGGTTGACCTGTCGGACTTTTGCCCAGTCGTTATCCCATTCGATCGGTGTGTTGATGACAGCCCACAATGCTCCATTGGAGTGCTGTTAGAGATGCTCTAACACGTGTTTCCGTAGCACTTTGTAAGTAATAATTAATAGTGTTTTACTTATTTTTATGGGTCTTAAAACTTGTTGAATTCTAAAATATTAGTTTGTTTGGTTACATTTTTCAAAAAAAAATTGCTTGGTTCCATTTTTCCAAAAATACTTTTCAGAAAATTTTACTTTCTTGTTTTTCGTATTTTTTTATTTTTACTGAATTTTTTTAATATTTTGATTTTTTTTTTACTTTTTAGACATACCTAACATAAATATACCTAAAAAGTAAAAAAATTTGTGAAAAAAACTTTTTAAAAATTCACTAAATACCAAAAATACAAAAAAAAAAATACTAGAATTCAGTACATTTTTTGTATTTTTATGTATTTATTAATTTTTTCACAAATTTTTTAATTTTTAGATACATCTAAGTAAGGTGTATCTAAAAAAGTAAAAAAAAATGTTTAAAATTTTAAAATATTCACTAAAAACAAAAAAATACGAAAACCAAAAAAATTAGTTTTCAAAAAACTTAATCCAAAAAACTCAAACCAAACATACTGATTTTTCTTTTGTTTTTTGTGTTTTTTTTATATTTATTTTCATTGGTTTCTTTTTTAATATTTTAAACAAATTCTTTAATTTTTAGATACATCTAATATAAATAAACTTAAAAAAATATAATATTTGTGAATTTTTTTTAAAAAAAAATCACTAAATATCAAAAATATAAAAAAATACAAAATTTAGTATATTTTTGTATTCTTGTGTATTTATTGATTTTTTAAAAATATTTTACTTTTTAGATACATTTAAGTAAGGTGCATTTAAAAAAGTAAAAAAATTGTTTAAAATTTTAAAAATATTTACTAAAAACAAAAAAAATGAAAAACAAAAAATTCAATTTTCAGAAAATTAAATTCAAAAAATTGAAACCAAACACATCATTTTCAGACATGAAATCTAATGCTTATAGAAATTCAAAGTTCATTAAAATATTTAAATAATAAATGTATTTAAAAACAATAATTCATCAAAATTTAGATTAGTTAATACAATATTAATATACCTTAATTAGTGCTTACATTTGTTAGCATTGGACTTGAATATCAGGCTCGAAGAAGCTAGATAAAGCCTTAAGGGAGTTACAAGCCGGTCCTTTAAACTTGATTTAATTGCCATGAGGTCCTGACCTAAAATAATTTAGCACATCTTCCCATTTTACCATTGATATTCGGCCCATACGTAGAAATCGCTCAACAGTTCCACACACACACTCTCTCTCTCTCTTAACTAGCCACCGAAGACCACTTCCGACTTTTGACAATATATATATTTTTGGCCATTTTCCATTTCCACCATGTTAATACCGTCATGCTGGCAACAAGAGAAAAATAGAAGAATATGGATGAAGAAAATGAATGAGGGGGATAAAGAGTCATATTCAGGCCTCGTTTGGGGAGTGACTATTTTAGCCAAAAAGTCAAAAAGTTACTAAAAGTTGTCACATCACCTCTCTACTTTTCTGCACATCTTTTCGTAAAAAACCAAAAAATTACTAAAATAACCTATTCCCAAACGAGGCCTACAAATTTAGTCTTCATAATCACAAATCACAAATCAACATAAGATTCAAAGACATACTCAATGATAAATTTATCACTGATAGACACATTCAATGGTAAATTTATTACTGACTATTTGTTAAAAAATTACAAAAAGAAAATCTCATTATCGTCACCACAAATTAACACAAGATTTAAAGACATATTTAGTCATAAATTTAGCAGTGATAAACACATTCACTGATAAATTTCTCACTAGTTGTTTGTTAAAAGATTACAAAAAAAGAAAAAAAAATCTCGTCACCATCGTTACAAAATCAACACAAGATTTAAAGAAATATATCAGTGATACATTTATCATTGATACGACAGATTTGGTTTAAGAAAAAAAAAAGAGAGGGAGTGAGGAAGAGGGAGATGAGATCTGGAGAATCAATGTTGCTTGTAGTCGTTTGAAGTTGATTTCACTGTAGAAACATCTAAGTCGGTGTAAATCTAAGATGTTAGAGTGTAGATCGACGACTGCGTAGTGTAGATCAACGATGGCAGAGGTGGTTAGTAAACAGTGGCGGTTGATCGGAGATTGTAAAGTATCGATCGGCGACGATGGAGATGGTTGGTGAACAATGGTGGTGGTAGTGGTACTAGTGGAGGTGGCGGTGGTTAGTGACGGACGGCGATGGTGGTTGCGGGTGGATGGCCATAGCCATAGTTATGATGGTGGTATTTTATAGGAAGAGAGATAGAGAGATGAGAAAGAAGAAGAGTTTTGAAAAAATGATTAAGAGAGAAGTTAATACAAATTGAAAAAATTAATGAGTAATAAATATTATAAATAATTCAAGATTTAGAAAGTGTTTGAATTATTTAAATAGAGATTTTTACCAGCTGGTAGCAGAGGCAAAACTGGGATAAAAATATATATAACAGTACTTCTTAATGTATGAGATAGAAACTTAAAACTTAATGGGTAATAGATTCAATTATTAAGATGGCTGATAAAAATTCCTAAAGCCTTTCCGCTGTCTTTTTCAATGGTTTGATGTATATAGAATAGAACTATGGGCCAATGTAGGCCTTAATAGGCCTGCTATCTCGAACTTAGTTCCACATGAGTGCTCTTTGTTTAATTTATTGGGCAAATTACCCACAAGTCCTGTTTGGAAAATGTGTATTATATTTAATCATAAAACTTTTTAGATAGACTCAAAAGTCCTATATCTATTTTTCTTCTCATCTCTTCCCGACACCTTATTTCTTCTATTTATCTCTCTTTATTTGATATCAATGGCAGCGGTGACAACCATGACTACGACCACGCCTACGCCTTCATTCCTTTCTTTCTCTTTCTAATCTACAGTCATTGGCGGCCTGCGACCACCATTGATTGGGATTCACGGGGAACCACTGAGCACTAACTCCTTACTTCGTGCTCGCCGATAGCGAAAGAGATGAGTATTGAGGAAGATGAGTAGATCTACTCAAATCTGATGTAGATCTATGTTAGATTTGGTTAGATTTATGTTAGATTTGGTTAGATCTAAAGCAAAAAATAATTGTCAAAGTACAAGTATTTCTCTATATTTGTCTCTTTCCTTCAATCTTTCAGTTTTAATACTTTGTCTGTACTACACATTTCTATTTTCTTGTTATAATGGAGAAAATTTTCAAATTATGAACAAGTTGTTTTCCAGTTTTAATTATAAGAGATGAAAATTGTAAAATTTTACAGTTTCAGTTTTTTTTAGTGTTGAAATGAATCATTTTTTAGAACTATAAAATTTTACAGTTTCATAACTTTCTTTAAAACTGTAAAATTTTACAGTTTCATAACATATTTTTCAGTTTGATTAATAAGAATAAATAGTTAATAGAATCATATTTTGCAATTATAACATTTTACAGTTTCAAAACTTGCTTTTCAGTTTGATCAATATTGAAAATTATTTACTTAAACCTTACAAAAATTAAAAATCATATTTATATTTTTTCATTGTTACTGTTTGTTGTTCTTAAGTTTTTTTTCTTTCATTCAGTTTATCAATATTTAACATATTTTGTTATGTTTTTTCATTTTAATTTCTTAGTTTATTCTTATTTTTTGGGTAATATTCTAGACATTTCGGTGAGTTTTCGATATTATTGACGTCTAGCGAACAATCTAGACATTACGACGACTTCTGGTGACATTTAAAACATTTCGGCAATACCCGGGCGAATTTTCGTGATATTCAAATGACTTTCTGATGATGTTAAATATTTTGGTGAGTCTTCGATAATCGTCTAACAAAAATCTGATACTGATGGGATGTAGCAGTGTTTTTAAAAAAAATTAATTTTTTTTTTAATGATAATTAAAAATATATAAGATTAATTGATGTAAGTGTTTTGTTTGGTTGAAATGGATTTTTTTTTATGTAGGAAACCAAGTCCCCCCTACTTTCTTCGTCCTGCGCTGCCCCTTTTCATTTCAGCCTAATCCAAACCCTAACTATTCGGCACTCTGTCTCTCTCCCCCAAACCCTAACACGTCGGTGGCACTAGTCGACGCGAGCGACGATCGGCGGCAGTGGCGATCGAAGGTATTGTTCTCTTCTCTGCTCTTCTCTTCTCCTTTCTCTCTCTCATATTGATATTCATAGTTTCTGTTCAATGATTCCAGGACTTTTGTTTTTTGTAGTTTCCCCGCCATGCACTTTTTTGTTTGTTTGTTTGTTTGTTTGTTTGTTGATGTTTTGGTTGTTCTATGTCTCTGCTTGGTCTCCGCTAGCTTAGGAAATTAAGTTCGATTTCATAGTTTAAAATTATAATTTGTCATTAATTGTATTAGGATTGGTAGGACATGGGAAAATGCTATATCCTGGGAAATTTTTTTGATCTTCCTTAGATTTAATTTATTATAATTACATTAGAGTGGATGGGAATCATATATATATATTTTTAGAAAGACAGAATCAAGCTATTTTCCATGCTTAAAATGAAGTGTATGTTTAGATTCTAATCTTAGTAGTTAGAAGCCATTAATCCTTGAAGTTGCCCCCTTTTTTTATATGATTGGTGCAATGGAACAATACCACCAAGTAAGAGTCTGATAACTATAGTTATCTATTTAAAATTGGAGGAAAATTATCCAGTCAACTATATCAGAGTAGCTTTTGTGCTGTCTAGGAAAAGAAGATTATCCAGGCATATGGATATGCATAAGGAACACAATACAGAATAAAAGATAATCACCTACATGTAGTTCTGTACAAAGACTGATACATGGATGTCTGTTTTGGTACTTGATCATCCTTCTAACCATGTTGATCTGAACTTAGCCCATTGCCTGTCCATTGCAAGGTTTGTTCTTTATTATAAATTCATATAGAGACAAAATACTACTTATTTAATTTTATTTTTCATGATATACATCTGAAATCCATTTTTACTTTCAATCTTGCAGATTGAGCAAGGAATTTTGGACTTCTCTGAAGGCCTTAGAGTTATTGGAGTAAAGCCAAACAAAAAACTAGCACGTTTTGCTGATAATTCTTGCCGGTGGCTTATTGCAGATACAGGTATGCAGCAGTTATGTTCATATTTAATTTTACACATGAAGCTGTCAGTGCATTAGCAAGAATCATTAACTAGAAAGAATGTTATTTGCCATGAAATATGAGAATTAAAATAAAATAAAAAACAGGGGATCACAAAAAGCAGAGATGGTTCTCATTTGTGGAAAACCAGATGCATAGTAGGGAATCAACCAGAAAATATGACTATAGTGTGGAAAGCCAGACGACAGGTTTTATTATGTTGAACATCTGTAAAATGTAAACTGCCAAAATCGATTCGTATTCATCCGCCAATCTGTCAATCTGCCGATCTGGTGGAGTGAAGTAATGGTGGCACGACACCTGTCCCACTTGAAGAACCAAGGGTTGAGATCAATACATCACCAAGATGAGACGTCGTTTTGGTGAGGCAATTCAAAAAAAAAAAAAAAAAAAAAAATTCCCTCTTCGTTTCAGATGTGAGAGGCAGAGAGAAAGAGAGAGAGGAGAGAAAGATGACGGGCTAAGTCGCCGCCGCCCTATCGTGTTGCCCCCCTGCTCTGCCCCCTCGACGAGGAGTGGTTGAGTTCAGATTCAAGAAGCTATTATTCAAAAAAGTTCGACATAGGTTAGGGTTTTGATTTAAAAAATTATGATTTTCTTTGAATGGTAATGGTAATGGTAATATAAGATTGTTGAATGTGTTGATTGAGAGATTCTTACGCGATTTGTTTCAAATCTATTCTAGGGTTTTGATTTGGGACTTTTTACATGATTTATTTCAAATCTATTCTTGGGTAAAAAATTAGAGTTTTGATTTGGGGGGTTTTACATGATTTCTTTCAAATCTAATTGCATGTTTCCCCCTAATAAAAAACAAATTTGAAAATTTAAAAAATGAACTCATGTCTTTAGTGCCTGCAACTCTGCCTATTCTTGCTTGCCAAGGACCATGCTGAGGGTGCTTGAAAAATATTTTTTTAAAAAAAGGTCAATAAAAATGTAAACCTTCGTGCTTGTAGGCAATGTTGATGAAAAATGTAACTTTTACTTTATTCACTTTTCCCTTTACTTTTGTCTTCACAAATCTAAGATCCAAATGCAGTGTCAAGGTATTCGATATGAAAATGTAACGAAGCAAAATGTAATACATGTGCACGGAAAGTTGAGCAATACCGCAATCAACAGTACGAATGCTAACCCCTGAAGCTAGTATGGGACCTATAGTGGATCCACATCCCATATCATTTCTCACTACAAAACGGATAAACTTTTGTCTTAACAAGTTATGCAAGTGGAGCATGTGAAGGTCTATCTATCTGCTGTGTGATAACATAATACGAAAATATGACTTCCAAGAAAAGGAAAAGGTATTGCTAATGTGCATTTGTAAGCAAGTAAAAAAGACATCTTATCAGCCGATATGTATATATCAAACAACTGAATCCATTGAAACAATATGTATATATGAAACAATTGAATCTATTGAAAAAATAAGTGAATAAAGTGTATACAAGTTTGAGGAAGAATGAGAAAAGAGCACAAGGTCAACAAATCCTAATCTCTCTTGGGGATATAAAAAAAATACCCTCTACAAGGTATTAAACATGTAGAAGTTACCTTTGTCTTCACAAATCTAAGATCCAAACACAGTGTAAAGGTAATTGATATAAAAATGTAACGAAGCAAAATATTTTTTTTCCACTCTCTCCATACTACTCTCTCTCTCTCTCTCACTTTTTGATCACGTCCGAAACGAAGAGGGAGTTTTTTTTTTTTTTGAATTGTCTTTTTCGTTTTGGTGAGGTATTGATCTCAACCCTTGGTTCTTCAAGTGGGACAGTGGCCACCATCATTTCACTTCAGTGGATCACTTTAGGGTTTCGCTCTAGAGTATCCAGACGCGTAGGAGTATCCAGACGCGTAGGTGGTGTGTGTACAAAGATACAAGTTAGGGTATAATTGGATTATCAAGTATGTGGAATGAGAACAATAACCTATAACCAAATCAATAAGTGTAGACTGAGAAATGATGCGCACATAGATAAGTTGGTGTGTGGAAATAGATTTCTCCTTTCTCTAGCTTCATCCTCCTCCTAGCATTCTTGTTTTCCTTTATTTGGGTATCACACATCTCTCCACTCATATACATCATGTGTATCTCTGTTTGACTTTATTGGGTTTTTTTATTTTTTATTTTTTTATAATTCCATCTCTGTTGAGTGATTCTTGTTTTGGCCCCTTTTCTTTGTGATGTATTTTTTTATTAATCTGAAACCCAATTTCCCGAATTGGGTATTAATTCTGTTGAATTTATTTGTATTTTTGTTTTTGGGCAAACACAAAGTTGAGTTAGTTATTGGGTGTTACTTTCTTGAATTTAAGTGGGTTTGCTTCAATCATCGTTTTCTATCTCTACAAAGGCCTCCTAACCACTCTCTTTCTCTAAGATCACTTAATCTTTGTTGCTGTTTGCTGGTTCGTTCTTGGGTTCCTGAGTGCCAATCCTAGAAAGTTCTCCGAATCCCAAATTCTTTAATACCAATTGCTTCTTTTTTCTTTTTGAAAAATTTCGGCGATTATAGTTTTTATTTGATTCAGAAAAGCATGAATGATGTGAACTATGAACCAGTTTTTCTTGTGTGGATAAGTGGGTGTTTGGTAAGTGATATGTTCACAAGCTGTTTGATGAAATTCCTGTGTGAGTTGTGTTGGCATATGAAGTTGAAGTGTTGGGTTTTGCATAGAGTGACCTTAAACACAATCACGACCTATGTTACATGGACTCTTCAAATTAAATCAAATACCCGTGTCGGACACCTGACACTCGGACAAGGGTATGGGATATGTGTCGGATACTTTTCAACGGATACTTCTTATATAATTGTATATAACACTATTATTATATGTATATATTGTTATATAATTGCTATAAATGCCATTTTGACACTATAAGTTAAATATAATATCATTTTATCTCACATATTAGATTAAAAATATAAAAATATGACATTTTTTTGCCGAGTCCGCATATCCTTAAATTTATGATTTGATGAGTCCGACCTCTAGATACATACCCGCACCCGACACCCGTACCCGAGTCCATGTAACATAGATCACGACTGTAGAAATCTTCTTATTCTTATTCTGGTTGAAATGAACCGTGTGTGTCATTAGGGATGGCAATTTGAACCCGACCCAACGGGGACCTGGCTCTCCGATCTCGATTAAAATGATTTTTTCTCGAAAAATACCCCCGATGGGCCAGGGATGGTATTCGAAAATGAATCCCTGACAAATTTCGGACCGGAGACGGTAATACGTTCCCCAGCCCCGACCCCGACCCTGTCTCCGTTCCCGTTTCCCCCAATGTGAAATTACGATTATACTCCTCTCTTTATATATATATAAACTAAACCCCAAAACACAATTACACAACCTCACGCACACACAAGCAAATTGATCGCCCCTCTCTCTCTCTCTCTCTATATATATATATATCTCTAAAGCCCTCCTATTACCACCGATCTCCCTTCCTCCGCTGTCCTCCTCTCCCTCCTCCTCCGTTGTCCTCCTGTCCCTCCTATCATCGCCGATCTCCCTCCTCTGATCTTGGCGAAAGTGAACTCAGATCTGCAATGATCGAGGCCAGAACAAGGCATCGCCGCTGGTGAACAAGGTGTCTCCATAATTGTGCTTCTCTCTCTCTCTCTCTCTCTCTCTCACTCTTCTTCATCCTTTTTTGTACATACCATTTGATTTTTACGGTATATATGTTGCGATTTGCTTGATTTTGTTTCGGATCTATGTATTTTGGTTGTTTCTGAGATATAATATGTATAGTTGTTCTGCTTTCAGATCGATAGTTGTTTCTGAGATATAATTGATTTGTATATGTGTTAGTTGTGATAAAGACTTAAAGTTTCTTCAATGGAGATATAATTGATTTGTATATGTGTTAGTTGTTTATATTGAATAAAGATTTATAACTACTTGTAATTTACAAATTTTGATATATCCTTCATACAAATTTTCATTTTGATATTGGTTTGGTGGTTCTTAGCTTGAGAAATTGGTTTGGTGGACATCAACATGTACCTAACATGATGTTTTGATGCCATCTCATGGTTCTTAGTTTGAGAAATTGGTTATAAGAAATCTTGTGTTTTTCTTGAACGTGCTTCATTGGATAGTGGGACTGCAAATTGGGTTTTCAGCTTTACAGTGTCAAAAAAAAAGTTTTTAGCTTTACAGACTGTAAATTGGGTTTTCAAGCATCTATGTGAATTTATCTTTTCAATTGGTAGAGTTGACCTACTTAATATTTAGCTTTCATCCTTTATACTATTCTTTGTCTTCCATCTGCCTCTTGTGGTGTGGGTGTTGTTTCAAAAAAAATAAAAAAATTATTTGGGATTGTTTGAGGACGGGAAAACTAGATCCCCGTTAGAGGGGGGGGGGTGATGGGTTCCCCGCTGGGGATTGGGGATGGGGATAGGGAGTTTTTCACATTCGGGGATCAGGGACGGGGATTGTAATCCCCGCCCCGGCCCGTTGCCATTCCTATGTGTCATAGGTGGTGGAGTTTTTTTTTTAATAATAATCACTGTTATGCTTATACATGTATTGTCTTCAATGTATCCAAACTTGATTTTGTTTTGTATGGGGCTTGTTCTTCCCCATGTTTTCTCTTAGCCGTGTTCCTTTGTTTGCAGTTACTAGATTGTACCTCTGTTAATTTCAAGGTCTTGTTTATGGTGTTCCTTTGTTTGTGCTTCCTTGGCTATGGCTTCGCTAAATCATTTTCTTGCTTGTACCCCTATGCACAAGACTCCTGTTGACAGCGGCGCCTCAGAGAGGCAGTATGTAGGCAACCTTACCCCCACCATTTTGTAGAGTGGATGATTCTCGTGACTCAAACCTAAACTAGTTGTTTAGGTTTTGATTTTGCTTCCTAAATATCTTTGTACTTTCATTTCGCTTTCATTTCCCTGCAATTTTATATTTTTCCAGAAGGATTGATAACAAAAAATAAAGAATGAAGATAGGGTTTTATATGTTCACGGTATAACGTGCACACTAGGAACGTATTTAAAAAGTTCAAGTAGGTATATGAAGGAGAAAATAAGGTGCTTTCATATGCTTTTCCAAAACACAATGGAAAGATTACCTTTTATGAATGCAGCTTAATGTGCCCCATGGGAGTTGATAAATTGGGCATTGGGCACATTATTTTAATCATCGGTTAAATACACTTTGAGGCTCTATTTATAGTTTTTGAATATCCTTTGGAAAATCATGTTTTTTGGATGTGCCTTGGTTTCGTGGATATTTTTTGACAAAGCTTGAAAATATTCATTATGCCTATTTGGGGAGAGGGGAAAAAAAGAAAAAGAAACTTAGCAGTTGAATTGAATAGTTCTCAAAAAAAGTTCAATCATATGTAAGCGAGACATCTTTCATTTTTTATTGATTAAAATAGAGAACTTTTAATTATGTACATGTATCAGATTTAATCTTGGAGGAATTATATATGGTATTGGTTCTAAAGAACAAATGGAAAAGCAAGCTCATGGTTTGCTACGCATGTAGAATTTCAGAACATTTGAAAATCGTGCTTGCAGTATTATGTATTTGATAAATTTCATCTTTGAAGACGTGCTTTGAAACCATTGAGATGTATGTATGTACAGCAGCCGTGACTTCTCTGGCTGTTGGCTGGATGAACATTTAATCTATTTCAATGTTATTGAAACTTGTTTGGTCTTGATCAATTTCTACTATTTATCATTTTCTCAGATAGGATACTTTAAGGTTGGAAATAATATTTGTTAATAGGTTGCTATTATTTCTTGAAGGATTTAATGGGCCCACGGTGGAAAGGAAAGGGATCAGAAGGTAAAGCACTTGCCGATCCCATGTCCAAGATAGTTTCTCAACTTAAGTCTTCTCTTATCCAATCGGATTCTCATGGGCTACTCTCAGGATGCAGTGTACTTCTTGAAGTGGAAACAGAACAAACTGCACTTCTCAATCGTTCATGTTTTGGTCGACCCATTATCACAGCCCAGAAGGATAAGCAGTGGTTTCAGCTGGGTATGGAGGAAGCCTTTTACCTGTGCTACAATCTAAAATGTCTGAAGATTGTCAGTTACGATGAGTGTACCAAAAATGATGATGAGCTATGGAATTACATGAAATCCAAGAGAGAAACGTTCCCTGATTTATTCAAGGCTTATTCTCATCTTCGTACAAGAAATTGGGTAGTGAGATCGGGACCTCAGTATGGTGTGGACTTCATTGCCTACCGTCACCATCCAGCTCTAGTGCATTCTGAATATGCTGTGCTTGTTTTATCAGGAGGAGATGGCAATGCAAATGGTCGATTGAGGGTTTGGTCTGATTTTCAGTGCACACTTCGACTTTGTGGCAGTGTTGCAAAGACATTGTTAGTTCTTTGCATTGATAAAAATGGTGTTGGTGCTGGTTCTCCAACGTGTTTGGAGAGTTATAGTGTTGAAGAAAGCACGATCACTAGGTGGAGTCCAGAGCAAAGCCGCGAGGATAAAACAGTAGCAGAAAATGGAACCAAGCAAGAGATTTTTTTTGAACATGAACCAAGAGATTGGGTTCAACCTTAGTTCATTTTGTACTACTTTAATATTTTATTTTATATTTTTGGTTACTCTTTAAATGTTATATACTGTTTTAGGTACTTTCACATTTTCATAGTAACAAAATGAATTAATCAAGAATCATGGTAATTTTGATGTTGTTTTGTACTCAAAACGACGTCGTTTTGGCCATTTGAGCCACATTTGAGCCACAGAATTTGGGCCCTCTACCATTGCTCTTATATTTTTGGTTACTCTTTAAATGTTATATACTGTTTTAGGTACTTTCACATTTTCATAGTAACAAAATGAATTAATCAAGAATCATGGTAAAGCCTCCTGTATAAAGTTTTACTTTTTTTGTATTAACATTTGTATTCATGTTGTCCTATATAGCACATGATTGTTTTTTCATACATACATGTTTCCAATTTTCCTACAATCATTCTTATTGTTTTGTCAATTGTTCATTTGTTGTGAGATGAGATGAAAATGAGGCACTACGGTTTCCTGATGTTCAAAGAAAAATTTACTTTCTTGTACAACTTATTACTTTACTCGGTAAGTTTATATACACTATAAAAAAATTAAACTATTTGAATTTGATTGCGTTCAGCTCTCGTTCAAAACTTGTTCGAGATCGAATCTTATGTCAATTTCAACTTATTAATTTTTTATTTTTATTTTTTTTCTAACCTCTAATGGAGAATTTCAACTCCTAGGTTCATGGTCTTTGCAAGTAGAAGTTATTGACATTGCTTCATCAGCAAGGGACTGTTGGAGTTACATAATTGGAGCCATAGTTGTCAAATTGGGATTCGTATCGTGAATCGAAATGGCCTCGTACCGAATTGCGAATCGAATCGAATCGTGAATCGTGAAGGTTCGGTCACTTTTTCTAAATTACTTAAAAAACATATATCTACATATTTAGATATTATATTTAGATATTAAATATATCTTATGAATGTGAAATATTTAGACTTAAATCAATGAAAATATTATTTTGAATAATAATCACGTAGTTTAATAGGTAAGAATTTAACAAAGGTTCTTATGTAAGATCACCATCTTACTGTTTTTTTTTTTTTTTTAAATATTTCTTATCAACCATTCTTAATAAAGACAATAACCAAATAGAAAAACTATTAATTTTCAAAGTAACAATAATTAACAATAATATTGATATTTGGACAACAAGCATATATACTTTTCTAAGTAACAGTAAGCAAATAATAAGAAAAAATTATTTAGAATCTTGTATTTTAAAGCCTAAAACATTTTAAAAGGTATAATTGACTTCACACATGTAATATTCAATTTAATAAAATAGCAATAGATAATTCATAGTGTAATTTTAATCTTAAACATCTTTAGAAATATATTATGATTTTTTAAGAGGAAAAAAAAAATGAGAAGAAAGGTTAAAAATATGTTGGGTCTGACTGAATCTGATCGAATCCTATCAAAAAACTCAATGATCACTAAAATAACAACAAACCATGTATATATGTTGGTCATTTTAGTATTAAACGCTTTTAGAAGTTGTATTATGTCATTTTCACTAGAAAGATGGAGAAAAAAAGAGTCGAAAATGTCGGACACAATAATTTCAAAAATTGCTTGAATCGTAAAAAGTAAATTGAATCATGAATCGATTGTGAATTGTGCGATTCACTAGACACTCACTTCCAAAATAGATTCACCTATAGATTCGTATCGATTTTGCAAAAATTGTGAATCGTAAAATTCTGATAATAGAGATTGGAACTAGCAATGTCAATCTGTCCAAATTCAAATCAGAAAAGACTGGTCGTGGTCCACTCTTACAGGGATGGCAGGTTGCCCTTCCATTGATTTGATAATACTGTAGTTAGTAATTACATTATTGATCTAGCTATTTGCAGAATTTTTGTGGAAACTTTCATGTCTTCTTATCTTAACTAAATACGTTGTAATGTTTTCCTGATAGCTTTAAATTGATTATTGACACTGCAACTTGGGGGAATTCTGCTCTAGGTCTTAAATAATTTAGGATGATTTTTTTGAAGCATGATCCTTGTATTTGTTTGAAAAGCTGCAACCCATTGTCAGGTGTTTTAATTGACATTATGGATTAGATTAGACGAAGTATGGTAATTTTTTTTTTTTGAGCGTCAACAAAATTTTATTAAAAAAGAGAGAGAAAGTGGACAAGAAGTCGTCATCTAAAGGATGAGAAAGAACAAAACAAAAGCACAAAGCTCCTAGCACTAGGGATGGCAAACAACAGCCCAATCCTAGAGATCAAGAACAAAAGGACTCCATTAGATTAGACAAAGTCTGTTTTTAGACAGACTATAGAAGATTTGCAGCTATTTATTGCTTAACCAACTATTTTTGCAATGATAAGGAACAAATTATTCTAAACCTTCCCTATCTTGTATTCAATATATAACATTCTAATTTGAATAAAATTCATGGTGAAATTTATGAAAAACCCATGAAGGCAGCAACAAGGTTATTGTTGAATTTGATTTCTTGAATAATCTGGATCGTTTTACATTATCTTCAAGATTCTAGTGTCAAGTACTGTTCCCCCCCTCCCTCTATCCTTATCTGCATGCTGTAGTGTTATTAAAGGTGTGCCTAGGCGTGCGCCTAGTCCCAAGTCTTATCCAAGTTTAAGGTTTGCGCCTTGTAGTGTTCCAGGCTAGGCGACTTCGATAAGGCATGCCTAGGTGTGCGCCTAGGCCCAAGTCCCATTCAATCCCAAGGCTTGCGCCTTGTAGTGTTCCAGGCATGGCGACTTTGACGCCTGATTGGTCCAAGGCACAATAAGGCCCAAGGCTTGGGTCTTGAGGGCTTTTTTTATTGTTGTTTTAATTGGTTTTGTTCAAAATCTGACCATTGATTTAGTATGGTGAAGCTATAGAAGATCTTTACTCTTATTACAAATGCCAATACATTGGGCATTCAATCTCAAATCAATGGTAGAAAAAAAAATTAGCCCTAATTCCTAATCTCCGAAGAACACTAAATGTTTAACATTTCATGTTGTTTATGTTGAATCTTAAATTATTTACTTATATTAAATTATATATATTTTTTTGGGTACAAGGTGCGCCTTGCCTTGCACCTTGGGCCTAGGCCCCAGAAGACCTTGGCGCCTTAGTGCGTCTAGCGCTTTAGTGCACCTAGCGCCTTTAATAACACTGGCATGCTGTATTGGTCATGTAGTAGAAGCCTTCAGCTCTATTGCTCTCTGAAGAACCTTCAGTTTGACAGGTGAGTGCTCAAATTATTGATCCACTCTTAAAACCCCTATCGCAGTTGTTGGTGCAAGCTTGAGGTTCTTTGTACACTGTCCACCCCAAAAAAGTTCCTTAATTTAAAAGATTTCTTTTAGGCCATGTTTGATTCCACAAGACTAATAGTGAAGTATTAATAATCCAATCAAATTAGTGTGGTATTCACAATCCCACCCTACCCCATTACTAATAATCCTACAAATTTGTTGGATTAATTATCCATTGGATTGATAATCCTAAAACAAAATGTCAAAACAAACATAGGATAATTGGGCCCGCGGATTAATAATCCCAATCCCATACTCTAATCTTCCAATCAAACATGCCATTAGTGTTCTTAAGAACTAGCCCATAACTTGGTTGTACATTTTGCAATTTTGAATCATTAGTGAAAATATGCTCCCTCGGGTCAAGTTATTGACATTGTCTTTTTTTTTTCCTTCTCAATCTGATTCAGTTATAATTAGGAGTATAAAACCAAGAAAAGAGAAACTAAAAATTTAATTATTAATACAATCTTTTGGTGAGAGAATTCTGTTTTTAGTATGAGAAGAATCATCTTCTTTCCACAATGATGGGACTCCAACGAAATTCTTTATGGTGGGGAGAGTGCATCCTATACTCTAAAACTACTCTCTCCTTCACCTCCTCACTCTCCCAAAAGGAAAGAAATTAAAATAAAACCGACACCCCCTTTTTTCTTGAATGCAGAGAATTCTCATTGAGCTCTCTTGAAGTTTTCTACTTTAAGGGATCCCTAAGATTTCGCTCTTAACTTGCATGTTCCTCCTTTGTTTCTATTGCGGAAGTTTTGTCATTATACTAAGTTTGATTTGTAACATGGGAAGGGAAAAGACAATGCTTGGGAATGGCTTACTTTCTTAAGATTTTTCTTTCCTTTCCCTCATGCATTCATTGTTTCATAGAACCAAGGGGTAGGACAAGTTTTCTTTCTGTAGCAAGGCCTACCTCCTCTGTCCTTCCTTCACTTATGAACTTGCTTTCCAATGGTGTGCTATAGAAGTTGCAGCTTGCTCTTTGCTTTGTGGAGAGGAGTGAGAGTGAGAGTGGGTCACAAAGTACTGCACTGCTTAAGCGTGTAGATGATGTGAACTCTCGAGGGGAAGCGGTTGAAAAGCCTTCATGTCAAAATGGCAACAACTCTTCCAAATTCAATCTCCAGTGGGCTGCAATCTTCCATGCCTAATTATAGCAATGCCAAACATCATGCCAATTTTAGCAAAAAGTTTGGCAAGACCTCTTCTATCTCTCTCATGAATCATGATGGGGCCCACAAATGGTTACTTACATTTGACTTTTTATGAAAAAAAATGAGAAGAAACGGCATTTGTACCTTTAGAGCAACATTGTCAAATTATGACATTTTTTGGCATTGTAGCATGCCAATTTGGCTTTGTACTATTTTGGCCCTAACCATTGAAGATGAACATGTCCAGTGGTGTGCTAAAACATTAGCTAATGTCAAAATTTGGCAAGACTTCTCCAACAATCACCTCCAATGGTCTGCTATTCCTCTTGCCAAATAGCAAAATTTGAAGATGAACCTCTCTCCACCTTTCTTATGATAGGACTCACAAATAGCATTTCATTCGACATATTTGGAGAAAAAAAGAAGAAATGATATTTGCACCATTGGAACAATATTGCCAAATTATAGTGTTTTGGCACTATAGCATCCCAAATTTTGGCTTTAGCATCAAACACCAGAAATGTTGTTAAAAGCAAATAAAGTAATAAATTGTAAAGCAAATATAGAAAGAAAAAAAAAAAAGTTCATAAATTCTTGTTTGGTTCTTCAAGATCTAGTTATGTTATTATTTAATAATTTAACTATACATTTCGGTATAATTTTTTACCTTTTCTCTCTTTCTCTGGTCTCTGCTATCTCTTTTCCATCTTTCTTTTTCTCCTTTTCTTTTCATCTCCTTACATAATTGTGTCCGAAGGGGAAGAACTCTTCTGATTTTATAGGTAGAAAAAGTAAAGGTGCAATAAATGATACTATTTCAACTATTATATTAATTGTGGTCAATATTATTTTATCTACCTTATTTATTGTGGTTAGCCATCACATATTTCACAACAGTTTCCCTTGGATGAACACACACAAAGAATATGCCTCGTGAAAACCTTGTCAAAGAAAAATCCAGTGGGACGAAAACCTTAGGCGAAGGAAAAAGAGTACATTATTTTTGTGTTCTATGGAGTGATATTGCATATGTCTAGATTGCCTCGTTAAAACCTTGCTAGGGAAAATCCCATGGAAAAAAAACCTTAGTCGAAGAAAAAGGAGTACAATCTTTAATATATTAACTTCCCCTCATGTTGCATAATTGATTTTTGAGTCGATGCATTCTAATGAGATGTACCCTCTTCTTGAATGTTGCCAGAGGTAGTGTTTTCGTGAATAAATTTGTTAAATTTTTACTTGACTGTATTTATTCAACATTAATATCTCTGCACTTCTAGAGTTTATGAGCATTAAAGAACTTTGAAAAAATATGCTTAGTTCGATCACCTTTGATATAGCCTTCTTTGATTTGTGTGATACACGCAATATTATCTTTAAACAGTATTGTCGGGAGATCTTTGAGTGCGGACATTGCACACTTTTCCCAAATATTTTATATTATAAATATTAACCAAATACATTCTCTGTTGGCTTCATGGATTGCAAATATTTCAAAGTGGTTTGAAGAAATAGCATTCAACATTTGCTTCACAAATTGCTAAGAGATGGATGTACCACCATAGTTAAATGCATACTTTGTTTGTGATCGGGTTTTGTGTGTGGTCATCTAAGGGGGAGTGTTGTGAAACATGTGATAGCTGACCACAATAAATAAGGTAGTTGGCATAGTGCTGGATGACAATTAATATGGTAGCTAAAATAGTAATATTATTGAAAGGGAAAGGGTCTCGTGGATTGAATTGTAGGATCGGTTCAATGGATTTTACTTTCTATTAAAAATAAGAACAAAATACAAATAAGGATGATGCATATAAAAAATAAAGTGAAAAGTCACAAATCGACAGCTGCAAAGCAGGTTTTGGATAATCTATTCAATCTTCTTCTTTTCTGTCTCTTTTCTCTCTTTTTGACTATTTAGGATTCCAGGGTTGTACTATCCTACAATCTAGATTGTGATTTTGATAACCATTGCTGCCATATCTCCTACCAAAATTTGGCAATGCTAACTCTTAAATCTTGTGCCAGTTTTGGCACAAAAATTAAAAATTGTCAAACTTGCCACATCATCAAAGCATGTCCTATGGAAGGTGCTAAATGGCATGCAAAAACCATGTTTTGGCATTCCTAATCAAATGGTGCAATTCCTTTTTTTTGGCACAATTGTCATTGTCTCTTTCCAACTACCATTCTCTAACCATTATTCTTTATAAATTAGAATAAAGAATGGTGGTTGAATAATGGTGGTTAAAAGTGGTAATGTAGTTGTGCCAAAACATTGACATGCTTAATTGGAGCATAAATGCCAAAAGAATGGCATTTTTACACTGTAGCAAACATTCATGATCAAATGGTGCAAATGTCATTTTTTTGCATAATTACCATTCTCTTTTTCCAACCACCATTTTGTCAACTGTCATTATTTATAGATTAGAATAAAGAATGGTGGTTGAAAAGAGATAATTGTGGCTGTGCCAAAAAATGTCATTTACACAATTAGAGTATAAATGCCAAAAAATGGCTTTGGCATGGCCATTTTAGCAACTTCCATTGGAGTTGCTTTCATTAGTTCACCTTCTTTCCCTTCTCTATGAAGCACTTCTATTTTCTAATTGCAATTTGCCCTGTACCTCTTAATCCATCATAAGAGAGGCTTGAACAAGAAAATAATTAAAAAACATTTAGCCACTAAATCGTGTAACATAAGGTTGCATATAGCATACCTACCTTATTTAACCCACATGAGTTGCACTTGCGTTGCATTATTGCCTATTAGCGGATTGCTGACGTACTGAATGTTCCTTTCCTTGCAGAGATGCACCCTCTTATTTGCATTCTCTTTAATCATCACACAAATTTGACTTGAGATTTATTACTTATCAAATACAAAAAATGACATGAGATTTATTGAGCCCTTTTATGTTGATGATATTTACAGGATCAGCATAATCCAGTTATGACAGCGTTCAAGTTGGTGATAATAGATGCTCCATATCGGGGCTTTGGTAATAGACTTGAACAAACTCCGCTTGCGGTATTATCTCTTGAAAATGTAAATCTTGAGCCCTTTTATGTTGTTGATATTTTCAGGATCAGCATAATCCAGTTATGACGGCGTACAAGTTGGTGATAGTAGATCTCCATATTGGGGCTTTGGTAATAGACTTGAACAAACTCTGCTTGCGGTATTATCTCTTGAACTTAAAGTAAATCTAGGGATTTTTGACTTCAATGCAGAATCTCTGTCCATGTATTTACTAAAAATGTAGCCGTGTAAATCCAAGAATCTATTATATATTACTTGAATGAAAGATAATCACTCCTTTAAAGTACATCAACATTTCAAAAACTCTCTTCAGATGACCAGCTAGGGCTGCTCACCTAGATTCTACAGTTGTTGAGCCCTATTCGCAATAAACCAACACAATTACAGTAAGAAACATCAGCTTTAGTTGTTCACTGTTTTATTTCCCACTTTTTGGGTGGAGTATATGTGATTATGCTTTAATTTGTCCATTTGGATAAGTAAATGGAAAATGGAAAACCTTGCTTATATTGTTATGTACTTTCTCATAGGGTGAACACACACAAACTCTTCTAGGATCTGGTGCATTAGTTATACACCCACTAGCAAATTGTCCACTCATTTGTTCTCTTTTCCCCTTTATGTTTTTAGATGAATCTTAGTTTGTTAATGACAAGCAATGTGATGTGACATTGTGAACATTGCTTCTCTTGGATAAAGAACTTGCCAAAATTAAGCAGTGCCGTGATTTTTACGTAACTGACTTACTGAGTTGCCCTATTGGCCTAAAATTTGGGTTTCCAAGGTTGGTTAGTCTAGTTATACCTTAAGTATGCGAATGCATTCTATTTTTGTCCTACATATGAATCTCCTGTTGGATCAGATAAGCCTTCTATTTGAAAATTAGAACTTGAACTTGCCATAAACCCTGGTGCAATCAGGAAAGGACTAAGGCCAAGTTTGGCATCTACTAAATAATACAAAAAATCAAAAAGTCACTATCTTATTTAAGTCACATCATCTTATTTAAATCACATCACCTCTCTAACACATCACATCAAACCCAACCCATATAAGCTAATAAGTCAAAAAGTGCACTTTTTTAGAACATCCCAAACCAACCCTAAATGATACAATTTTGTGGGGTTTTGTTCTATCTAACTATAATTGATCCCACTTCATGGATTTTGCACAAGAGGAATTTATATCATCCCGAGTTCAGGGCATTTTAAGGCACATACCTTCTTTTGTGAAACCACGTACAAAATCAGATTTTGTCATAGGAAAGCGTTTTTAAAGATTGTTATTCGTTATCTTGGTAGTGCCAATATTTATTGTAGATACTATGGTATGCCCTATTTAAATTAGTAACATGAAAAGCAGACTAATTTTGTTTAGTGTTTAATGCATCCCAGAATAGAACAATGGTCATGACATGCCTTTAGTAGCATAATTAATTTCTCAGTAACGCTTTATCGTATCTAGGCCACATATCTGGGAAAATTCTGTTGGCTATGTTATTATCATCCCATGTGAGTGGCTAACCCACCTTAGAGAGAGTGGGGTGGTTGGAGGCCACTTTAGAGAGAGTGGGAGTGGCACCTCCCCACTAACCAATCCACTCACCATTGCTGTCCAGCTACCTTCCCTCATGATATGTATAAATAGAGGTTGAGAGGAGAGTAGAATATAAGTGAGAACCATCAGAAATTGGAGAGTGAGAGCTGTGAGTTGAGTGAGTTTCATCTCCTCCTCTGTAATTGTATTTTTGCTCTATTTTAGTGATAATTCTCATTTCTGTCCGTGGATGTAGGCATTGGGCCGAACCACGTAAATATTGTGTTCTCTGTGTGTGTGAGATAAGTTTTCTGGGTGTCTTTGATCCTAACAAGTGGTATCAGAGCCTCGTTGGTGGCGTTTCGGAACAAAAACAGCGTGTTGTTCGAAACTGCCCAGAAATCGTATTGCTCGAAATCAGTTTTTGAGCATACTAGGAGCAAGGGCTCGACGAGAGGAGTCCAGAAATATAAAGAAGACACCCAACGGAGGCTGAACGCGCCCTCACGCGCCCCAGGAAGTTGGCGCGTGAATATCAGTAGCGACACGCGCCTCCACGCGCCGTTCAGGCACTGGCGCGTGATCCCAATCTCACCAACGCGCCCCACGCGCGGACAGAGGAAGACGACGCGTGATTTCACGCGCAACACGCGCCGCACGCGTGCGCACCAGCCGACGCTCTCTTTTGTAGAACAAAACACAACCTTTGATGTACTCTCTTTAAACCATGAGTTGAATACTCAATAAAACATCAAAGAAACTAGCAAAATCTCTCCAGATCTAAACCTTAAGATCCAAAAATAAGATCTGGAGAAGTTCCATCAATCGCTTAGTTTTTGGGAGAAAATCAAGTATTTATAGAGAACCAAAGCAATCCTAATTTCACAAGAAAACCAACTCTTTAATCAAATCTGGAAATCTGGGATCTGTGGTCCGCTCGAGCGCCCTTTTCCCCGCTCGAGCGGAGACTTCAAATTCTGTGATTTCATACAGGCTCCACGCTCGAGCGTCGGTTTTGCCGCTCGAGCGGCGAATCACGCCATCCAGTACTTTTTCAGGCGACTGCAGAGATGCTGAAAGCTTCCAATCCCCGCTTGAGCGTCCCTTTCCCCGCTCGAGCGGGAAGGCCAAAACTAGAAAAACTGGAAAAATATAACATGATCGGACAGGCAACTTTGAATGCATTTTTGCATTTTGCTTCGGCCGCGAGCTGACCGGGCAGCTCGACCCCCGTAATAATCAGTGAAGTGGCAATCTTGAAAGCATTAACATTACAAACTTCTCTGCATGGTTCGATTCGGATTTGGATTCGCATCTAATAAACTCATAGCCTCACTGAAATAAAAGTGCGAAAATAAATACATCTGAAAGGAGTTTTGTCAAACGGGGTTGCCAAGAATAAAAACCTAACAGTTATCTTGGTAGTGCCAATATTTATTGTAGATACTATGGTATGCCCTATTTAAATTAGTAACATGAAAAGCAGACTAATTTTGTTTAGTGTTTAATGCATCCCAGAATAGAACAATGGTCATGACATGCCTTTGGTAGCATAATTAATTTCTCAGTAATGCTTTATCGTATCTAGGCCACATATCTGGGAAAATTCTTCAATATTTTGAAAGACCACAGCTGAGCTGTGGCATATATTCTTGCTACTTGCAGACAACCTTGAATAGATTTAATTTTTTGAATTGGATACTTTGATGGCTATATTAGAAATGTATCAATGTGCTCTATCTTCATTTATTTATTTTTTCTGAATTGATGATTGAAGACTGAATAGTGATCTTTGAAACAGAAACTTGACACGCAAACTTGGCCGATGAGCAAGGAGGAGTCGGATGGAAAATGAAGATGTTCACTTGACAGTGAGGAAATCTACAGTAGGTCCCAATTTGAATGTGAGAAATATGGGATTTGTTGTGCTACACCAGATGTAAATTATAGTATTTTTGGTGCATGTATGGTGGTGAAAATCCATTGGACAAGGAGATTGTAAACTTTTACAAAATATCAAATTGTTTCTGAATATTCATTTGATGTAAAAGTTTGTTATCTCCAAAAAAAAAAATTAAATAAATAACATTATGAATTAAGCAAATATTCGTCATGTTATAATCTAATTTCGTCAAGTTATAATCTAATTGCAATTACATTATTGAGATGCCATTGTTCTTTTCTTTTCTTTCCACCTTTTACTTTTCTTTTTCCCAGTTTTCCGGGAGGGGGATGGGTGGTCATGTATATCAGTTGCATTGTGTTACGTGACATTTTGTCTACTTTTAATTTGCTTTTCAAAATAGACCTTAACGAGAGTGTAAGACATTAAATTTAGGTTACGTTTGTTTGGCGGAGTAGGTATGGATTGTTAGTAAGAGTATTAAGTAAAAGTGTGTTTGTTTTGATGATAGTGTGGGAGATGATTAGTGATGAAATTGTTAAATTATTTTTTTATAAAATAAAAAAATTATTTTTGTATTAAAAAAATTAAAATAAATATTAAAAAAAATGGGTGTATTTGGTAAAAAAAAAAATAAAAAATATAAATTATATATATAAAATAGACTTAATTTCTTCTCTATTTTTTTTTTAATTTCACTTAAAATTCACTCAATCTAATCACATCACAGAGGGGGGATTACTAAGTCTCTTACACTACTAATCCTATGACATTTTGTTGCATCTAAACAAGGTTTGGTGGGTCTCACGGTTTGATAATCCAATCTACCCTCCCAAACCCCCAATCAAACATGGCCTTAGTGTATATTTTTTGTTAGTGAGGTTCATTTTTTGTGAGATATTTTGGTAAAAAGTATTTTTGTTTGTTTTGAATGATATTTTGTTTACAATTTTACCTCTTAATTTTTCTGTTAATTTTTTTTAAATCTTTTTTTTACTATCTATTCAAATTTATTTTTATCTTTACTTTTTTGGGTAAATTACCAATAACTCCTACTTACTTATTACCCATTAAGTCCTATTGATAAATTTATCAATCTCTTGTTTTTATGAGTAAATTTATAATGATAAATTTATCAGTTTCTTTGTTTTTATACATAAATTTATAGTGATAAATTTATCAGTCTCTTGTTTTTATAGTGATAAATTTATCAATTAAGACATGTAGGTAAATAAGTCTAATTAATATAACTGATTGGTAAGTGTTCTTAATTTTTTTCTCTATCTGTTCAATTTTTCCCTATATGTTTAATTTTTTTTTGATCTTTTTCGATTCAAATTTTCCTCATCTATTCAATTATCTGTCCAAATGAAATCTATCTGTTGAAAATTTTCTGTTCAAAATTTTTTCCTGAATTGTTTTATCTGTTCAAATTATTTTCTATCTGTTCATTTAGATTTCTCACACACACACACACAAGCAGTGAGGAAAAAAAGAGTTCTATCTGCTGCAATCTGTTTCATCATCAACAACCAGCAGCAACCACCAACAACAATAACAAAAAAAAATGTTTCATCATCAACAACCAGCAGCAACCACCAACAACAATAACAAAAAAAAAACAAAACAAAAACAAAAACAAAAAACATAACCAAACAGACCAAAGCTTTCTTTTTTACTTATTTATTTATTTTTTAAATTTGTTCTTTTGCAATATGTTTCTCAACAACAATAATAACAACAAAAAAAAAAAAGAAAAAAGAAAAAAAAAGAGGATAATTCAGATCAACCAAAAAAAAAGAAAAAAAGAAGAGGAGGATAATCCAAGAAAAAGTGAATGCAATTTATCAACAAAAAAAACAAAATCTGAAGAGACAAGAAGAAAAAGTTGAAGAAATTGAGACGATTGCCAGAAATGATTGCCCATACATTTCTTACAATTTTAGAGGTGTAGTACACTTTCAACGCTCACCATTTGAATGCAGAAAAATAAAAATGGCTGTGTTTAGTGCATATGACTAACTGGGAAGAAACAAAATGGGTGCACCAAGGAAACACAATGGTCAGTAAAGCAATCGGTGAAATTACACTGATGCAACACAAACCCACCAAAAAAAAAAAAAGTTAGCAAATCCTGCACAAATAGTGTTAGTAATATATATTGAATTAGGATTACATTATTTACTAGTATTAGGATTACATTATATAGTAGGATTAGAATTCTCTTTCTCCTTCTTGCCTATATATATGGGCCTTCATTGTATTGTATGACACACACATAATATTATTCAATATACTTTTCTATTTGTCTAGTTGTGTTAACATGGTATCAGAGCACAGGTTTTGAACCTTGTTCCTTGGCTCCCTCACTGGCAATCTCAGCCACCGGTAACAATTTTTTTTTTTAGATCTGATCTGTTAGTTCCTTACGGCTCTCTCCTCAGTGGCCGTAATCCCCAAATACAGCAGTAAGATCCTTCCTCTTCTCAAGATGATTCTGTTGCCGCCACCCTCACTCATAAAAACCTCCACACGCGCCACCACGCGCCGCCTTTCCCTTTGCGCGTTTGACGACACGCCACCAATCGCACCACGCGCTTACACGCACCCTCTGCTGCAGGTCCACACGACATGCTTCTCTCACGCGTCGTCTCTTCGCCTTTGCTAACGTCACTACCACACCCTTTGCTGACGTCAGCGGTGCGCCTTTCAACTGACGTCAGCCCTAGCGCTTCTGCAGCCACTGACATCATCGTTGACGTCATCTTGTTAATTTTTTGCCCTTTCAGTCTGTTTTATCCCCATTTTCGGTGTATTTAGACCCGTTCCCAAGGTTTTTTTTGCATTCTGAGTTCAATGGTGCCCTCTGTTTTTCCAGATTTGGTCTTTTTCTACACTGTTCTTTGTTTTTTTTTTCCTCAATAAATGGATCGCTCCGACTCGGCTCAACCAATTTCTGTGGTTCTTGATGGCACCAATTATCTTTTCTGGTCTCAAGCTATGTCTGCCTTTCTTAAAGGTCGACAATTATGGCGAGTTATTACTAGTGAACTGACGAAACCAATCCAATGCAGATGAAACTGAAACCAAATTTCTTGACCGCTTGGATGCATGGGATGGAAAAAATTGTCGTATTATTACTTGGTTTCGGAACACCTCTACCACTTCAATTCATCTCCAATTTGGGCGATTTCAAATTGATACCAACCCTACTCCTACCAAATCTATATGGGACTTTCTCAAAGACCGATATCGCACTACTGGCCTTTCCCATCGATATCAAATTCGCACTAGTCTTCATGGCCAACGTCAGGCACCAGGTCAATCCATTAATGATTTCTTATCATCCATGTATAGTTTATGGGATCAGCTTTCTATTTGTGAGCCTGTTTGGGTTGATGACAACGATGCCCAATCTTTTGCTGATTATCGTGATAAGGACCGCTTGGTTGAGTTTCTTATGGCTCTCACTCTTGTTTTTGAGCCTGTCCGAGCTTCTCTATTACACCGGGATCCTTTACCCACTCTGGAACAAGTTGTGACTGAACTCTTGTCTGAGGAGACTCGTCTTGGTATTCTTAAGCCCACTACTAACATTGTTCTTGTTGTTCCTCACACACAGACTCCTTCTGGTTCCTTCACCCAGATTTGTCAGTATTATCAGAATCGCGGTCTCAATTTTAGTCATTCTCTTCTTCATTGTCCAGTTCGAGATTGTCGTACTTGTCACAAACAAGGGCTTGGTCACTTGAGTATCACTATCCCTGAGGAGACTCGTCTTGGTATTCTTAAGCCCACTACTAACATTGTTCTTGCTGTTCCTCACACACAGACTCCTTCTGGTTCCTTCACCCAGATTTGTCAGTATTATCAGAATCGCGGTCTCAATTTTAGTCATTCTCTTCTTCATTGTCCAGTTCGGGATTGTCGTACTTGTCACAAACAAGGGCCTGGTCACTTGAGTATCACTATCCTCAGAAACAATCTTGAAATAACCCATCTTCTGGGAACTCAAGAGGGAGTCACTATAAACAAGGGTCTACGTATAAGCCTGCCTCTCGATCTATTGCTACTGCCGCTGCTGCTATTAAGGATTCCACTCCTCCTATAGATCCACCTATTCCATATTATTCTCAGAATGATATGGAGGCCATGTTTCAACAGGCACATTCTGGTACCTCTCATAACACTGCCTTATCCGTCACCCCAGGTAGCTCTTCTTGGTTCTTTGATTCTACATGTTGTAATCATATGACATCAGATTCCACTGTTTTTTCCTCTTTTACTTCTTCTAGTACCTTACCTATTATTCATACTACTGATGGCACTCACATGTCTGTTAGTCATATTGGTAGTGTCTCTACCTCCACTGTGTCTCTCTCTGATGCTTATCATATTCCTGCCCTTATCCTAAATCTTATTTCTGTTGGTCAACTTTGTGAACTTGGTTTAACTGTTCTCTTTTCCTCCTCTAGTTTTCAGGTTCAGGATCTGCGGACAGGACAGACTATTGGGATAGGGCGTAAAACTGGACGTCTGTTTGAGCTTATCAATCTTCATCTACCATTTTCTACACCTACTCCTCAGCATGTTGCATCCACTCCCTCTCTTGATCTTTGGCATTCTAGATTAGGGCATGTTTCTTTTGGTCGGTTACGTACTTTAGTATCTAGTGGCAATTTAGGTTCTGTTTCTTCTAATTATCATAATGATTGTCAATCTTGTCAACTTGCTAAACAGCCAGCTTTGTCTTTTAATATAAGTGATTTAGTTTCAAACTCTCCATTTGATTTAGTTCATTCTAATATTTGGGGACATTCTCCCAATACCATAATGGGAGGCTCTAGATACTTTTTCATTTTTGTGGATGATTATTCTCGATTCACTTGGATTTATATTTTAAAACAATGTTCGGAGTTACATCAAACTTATTGTGATTTTGTTAAAATGATTCAAACTCAATTTGGTTATTCTATTAAAATTTTCCGATCTGACAATGCTCAAGAATATAAAGAGACTAGTTTTTTAAAACTTCTTCGTGAGTATGGTACTGTAACATGCCCGGGGGGTACCCGCGCGCGTTAAACAGTTCGGACCCGATACTTTTTCATTTTTGTGGATGATTATTCTCGATTCACTTGGATTTATATTTTAAAAC